CAGGGGTAGGTTGATCCCGAATTTCCTGAGAAACCGAAACAGTGATTTCCAAAGTGGTTGCACAAGATTGCATTCCCACCAGCAATGGATGAGGGTACCCCTTCCTCCACAGCCTCTCCAGCAAAGGCTATCATTGGTGTTTTTGATTTTAGCCATTCTGACAGGTGTAAGATGATATCTCAAAGTTGTTTTGATTTGTATTTCCTTGATCGCTAAGGAGGTTGTGAGCTGCACTTCTTCTCCTTCTTCTACTCCAATTATTCTTAGGTTTGGTCTTTTTATTGCGTCCCAGATTTCCTGAATGTTTTGTGATGAGAGTTTGTTGGACTTGTTGTTTTCTTTGATCAGTGTGTTTATTTTCTCTATGGTATCTTCAGAATCTGAGATTCTTTCTTCTAACTCTTGTATTCTGTTGGTTATGCTTGTTTCTGTAATCTCTGTTTGTTTACTTAAATTTTCCATGTCCAGCCGACCCTCTGTTTGTGTTTTCTTCTTTGCCTCCATTTCAGTTTTCAAGTCTTGAACTGTTTCCATTATCTGTTTGATTGTTTTCCTTGGTTTTCTAGGGTATCATTCACTAATTTATTCAATTCTTCAAACTTTCTGTTATATTTCTCATCCATTTCTATAAGGGCGTTCTTTACATTCTGTTTAAGGGTGTCAATCACTTTCATAAAGTCAATTTTTTCTACTTCTTCTTGATTAAGGTGTTCATGTCCTCCTGTTGTGAGGTCGCTGCTTTCTGGTGGTTTCATGTTGCTTTTCAGATTGTTGGGTGAATTCTTTCATTGGGGCCTGCCCATCTCTTCCTCTGAATGCTCCCCTATCGCTGTTCTTTAACAGGATCAGGGCTCCTTGCCTACTGATGTACCTTCCCAGTTATGGCTCTCCCCAGTGATAGCTCTACTGGTGCCGAGATCAGATCTCCGTGTCCAGTGATGGCTCTCCCCAATGCTGGCTCTCCTGGCGCCGAGATCAGGTCTCCATGCTGGTTGGGTAGCTCGTAAACAAAGCGCCTATCTTGCTTGGTGCAGGCAGGCTATTGAAACAAAGGAACTCCCGCCCGCCTGGTTGCCCTGAGGATTCGGACCCAGCGCCTGTACTCCATTTTTTATTGGATTATTTATTCTTTTGATAACCAATTTCTTGAGTTCTTTGTATATTTTGGAGATCAGCCTTCTGTCCATTGTGGGGTTGGTGAAGATCTTTTCCCATTATGTAGGCTGCCATTTTGTCTTGTTGACCATGTCCTTTGCTATACAGAAGCTTCTTGGTTTCAGGAGGTCCCATTTATTATCGTTTCTCACAGTGTCTGTGCTATTGAGGTTATATTTAGGAAGTGGCCTCCTGTGCCAATGCATTCAAGTAAGTGTACTTCCTACTTTCTCTTCTATGAGGTTCAGTATGGCTGGTTTTATGTTGAGGTCTTGGTCCATTTGAACTTTAGTTTTGTGCATGGTGATAGATATGGATTTTTTTCATTCTTCTACATGTTGATATCCAGTTATTATCTATTTGTTAAATATGCTTTCTTTTTTTCATTTTATATTTTTCCTTCTTATGCGCAGAGGTGTGGATTGATATCTGGGTCTTTGATTTGGTTCCATTAGTCCTTCTGTCTGGTTTTATGCCCATACCAGACTGTTTTTAGTACTGTAGCTCTGTAGTAGAGTTTGAAATCAGGGATTGTGATGCCTCCAGAAGTTCTTTTATTGTGCAGAATTGTTTTCCCTGTCCTGGGTTTTTTGCTTTTTCATAGGAAGGTAAGTATTGTTCTTCTGAGGTCTGTGAAGAATTTTGCTGGGAATCTGATGAGCATTGCATTGAATATGTAGGTTGCTTTTGGTAAAACTGCAATTTTTACTTTGTTAATTCTACCTACCCAAGAACATGGGAGATCTTACCATTTTCTGTTGTCTTCTTCAGTTTCTTCAGATATTTAAAGTTCTTTTCATACAGGTCTTTCACTTGTTTCGTTAGAGTTACTCCAAGATATTTTATGTTATTTGTGGCTGTTGTGAAGGGTGACATTTTTCTGATTTATTTTTCAGCCCATTTATCACCTTTATAAAGAATGGTTACTGATTTTTTTGAGTTAGTTTTGTATCATGTTACATTACTGAAGATGTCTATGAGTTGTAGAAGTTCCTTGATAGAATTTTTGGAGTCACTTCTGTAAACTATCATATCATTAGCAAATAATGGGATCTGACTTTTCTTTTCTGAGTTGTATCCCCTTGATCACCTTTTGTTGTGTGTGCTCTAGCTAGAACCTCAAGTACTATATTGAATAGATATGGAGAGAATGAAAAACATTGTCTTGTTCCTGATTTTAGTAGGATCACATTAAGTTTTCTCCATTTTGCTTGATGTTTTTTGCTAGCTTGCGGTATATTGCCTTTATTATGTTTTTATATGTTCCTTGTATCCCTACTCTCTTCAAGACCTTTATCATGAAGGGATGTTAAATTTTGTTGAAAGCTTTTACAGCATCTAATAAGATGATCATAAATTTTTTTTGGAAAACGTTTTTTTTTAAAGGAAAACCAAACAATAATTTCTTATATGAAAAGCCACTATGTGTCAAGGACACTCTACAAACATTTTATCTTCTCTCTTTTTTTTCAAGTCACAAATGTCTTTATTTTTAAGGCTGAATAACAGTGTTCCACTTTTTTTGTTCACACCACATTTTATTTTATTTTTTTTATCTTTTTTTAAATTTATTTTATTTTTTTAAATTTTTTTATCTTCTCTTTTTTATCCAGGAAATATTAAAGTAATGTAAATGCATCTCCTGTGATAACCAGAGATATCTTCATTATATAAACAACCCAGTTATAAAGAGTCATTCTAGAGCCAGGCATTGGTGGCAACATGTTTAATCCAAGCACTTGGGAGGCAGAGGCAGGCAGATCTTTGCCAGCTCTAGATCACCATGATCTACAGAGCGAGCTCCAGAACAACCAAGCTATACAGAGAAACCCTGTCTTGAAAACACAAAAACAGAATCAAGCAAGCAAGCAAACAAACAAAAAGTCATTCCAGTGAAAAAGACTGAATATTCGAGTCAGGTCAAGGTAAACATTCAATTTCATAATGACAAAAAAGGGACGTTTGGAAAACATAACACCAAAATCACACCTTTTCTACTGTACAAGCCAGGAAAGTCTCTGATTCAACAAGCTGTCACTGGGAAACATAAACACATGAAAAATATAAACACATGGAAATTAGAATGTCAAGGAAACAAAGTTTAATTGAAACAAGTGTTCATAAATATTCATATTATTTTTAACCACATAGAAGTCAGAAAATTGCCTTTATGAAGTAGCCTGAAAATCTGTGTGAACTAGGTCTAATAAAAAACATTACAATATGATAGATAAATTTATATCCTCAATATATATTTGAGGATATAAACCTGAAATATTAGAGGATAGTAATTAAGTTTTACATTTACAAATACAACAAAAACCAAAACTTTAAAAGTATCCTGAAGGACATAGCACCAATAGCTATCACTGTCACTCAGATTGTCTATATTCTCTTTAAAGTAAACTGAGATAGCATTTATCCTGTGTTGGCTTTCTCTGGGAGATGTAACCAAACATTCTTTTGCCCAGACAGAGCACAGATGACAGACCAACAAAACAGACCCACCCAAGCCTAGCTTATTGGACCAGTGAATTTTAGAGGGTTTCTTAAAAGAGTGCAGATGACTAAAGGGAGCCTCACCTCTGAAGAGCCTACCTCGACAGTGGGTGAAAGCTGTATTTCTGAAATTGCCTATTTGACTTGCAGGCTGTGTAGCTGGACAATAAGTCTCAATCTGTAGCAGTGGTTGCTACTGTGCAACTCTGGAGAGGGGTGTTATGTATCTTCTACATTTCAGGACCATCTTGAGACTTGTGAGTCATTTTCTTCCTGAGTTTAGTCAATTTACTTTACACTCAAGTCAAGAGGGCACCCATTCCAGGAGGAAATAATTCAATTTGAAGGAAGTAGGTACAAAATTTCTGGATAAGTATTTACTATTTTAAGGAATAAGAATGCTGCATAAGTTTAGAAATGGAGAAAGCTAACAGCACAGTCAGTATTAATTGAAATAAAAATATTGATGTCCTAACACTATTTGGTTTTAATGGTCATTCAAAACTCTTTTGTTTAAAGCACCTCCAGAACTAGCTGAAAGTAATACATATAGATCCTAACTAAAGCAGGAGGGTGTGACCAGTACTCAAAGAAAACCATCATCAGAGAAATTCTCGAAGGAGCTTTTCCCTAGAGTAGGAGGAATTACTAAGATGTGGGAGGGTGAATCTTCAGGGCAGCGTGACAGAAGTGTCCCGAGTGGGGAGTGCTGGTGCAGTATGAACTGTGTGTCCTGACTGATTTCACTTTCAAATGTCACGCGTTTATTTGGAATGCATAGATCCTGGGAAGAAAAGTGGCAGCACTCATGATAGGGTTTATTTTTCTCAGCTGCTCATGTTAAAGCGCTCCTCTTTACAATGTGTCTGGCAATAGCTATCAACACAAGGCTCCATCACCCAGCCCTTTTACATTTAATGTGGGTCATGTTTTCCCAAAGGAGATATAATCCAAATAACTGAGCAACTCCTGACGCTGTAGTGTATATGAAATTGGATTCCTGAATTATACCCAATCAATCAGAAACAGAGGTCATAACTGGAGCTTTTCATTGCCAGCTGAGGTGGTGCAGTCTTGTGAGAAAGAGCCATTAACTCATGAGATCTGACACTATCTAATATGAGCTACTTGGAGTTCTGTTGGAGGACATGCATTTGAGTGTCAGCAGAAAAGGGATTGCTTGGTTTCTGGGGAAAGTTCTCATATATCCAGTATCAATGGTGAAATATTGGGTGTGTAAGCACAAGAATGGGAGAATAGCCATGCTTTTCTCTATTTGATACAGCCTAAATATCCAAATGAAAAACACATACATTAGAAATAACTTCTAATATTTTACCCTCATGGTGCCATTGAGAAATACTAGAGCAAGAGTATGATATGGCAAAGTAAAGCAATGATTTCAAGCAATGACTAGAGATGTGGTTCTGTGTGTTAACTGTTTCCTATATAAGTATGAACACTTGAGTTCACATCCTTAGTTCCTCTCTCCCCAAAATCAGACATGAAAGCACAGACCAGTAATACCAGTGCTGCAGAGAGAGAGACAAGTGGATCCTGGGAGCTGGCTGGCTAGCCAGTCAGATAGTAAGCATCAGACTCAGTAAAAAGATCCTGTATCAAAAATTGAGGGGGATAGCAGTAGAAGATACCCATAGTCTATCTCTGCTCCCCACATGAATGCTCACACACAAACATATACATATGTGTATACATGACTCATGCATATATATGTGTATTCAAGAGTATATACAAGCAGACATGAGAATACAGGTGCATATATACATTAAATGATTTCATAGATAACTCATTGAAAACCCATCTAAAATATTTGGGTACTGAATGCTGGTCTCTAGTTTTTAAAGAATTCGCAGAACCAGCTAGGTACCAAATATGTCCTGCTAAGCTTCTCACAGAAGAGGAGATGATCTTGAAGGGCAGTGACCAGAATCTGAACTAATAGAAGCTGAAGAACTGATGGAAAGATTCTGGGAAATCATTAATAGAAAAGTCTGCAACAGATATAGATCACATTCATCATTGGACAGTTATAGAGAATATTGTACTACCCAGTTTAAGGTAATTTTCACTTTACAGCTTTTTTCAAGGAGGCGATGCTCACATTTACCCCTTTGCTAGCTATCATTGATCCAGTTGAATCTTCAATCAATAAGGGAAGCTTCAGTGACTTCAGCGTCTATGATCTTTAAAAATATATTCTCCCCTTCTTCCTCTTGTAGTTCTTCTTTTTTTTTTTAATAAATGCTTCTCCTTCACTCAGCAAACAAGTTAAGACTTTAATATAAGTCAATAGTTTTAATATATAAGTTTGTGGTCTCACAAAGCACAGTAACTACATATCTTAGAGTGTTTCTTGAACTAGGCAAGTGCAGTTGCAAAATGGACTAGTGTGTGAGGGGTTTTCTCTGGGTATAGCTTGTTTTGCTTCTAAATCTTGTGCAGTTTGTGACAATATCTAATTAACTTCAAGGTTTGATGGCATGTAACTTTTGGGGCCTAGAAAATGAGTTATAATATAATAACATAATAATAATACTACAATCATAATTATTATGTAATAGCATTATATAATTCCACATCAATTCAATTAGAAAGTAGTCATGTTTGATAAAGCCTTGTGTCAATAAGACAACTCATTTATATATTTTTTGAACCTGTAGAAGGAGGATGTGTTCTATTCATCAGGTATAGAAAAAAGACAATGTGGATGTTTCTGTATTTAGTTAACAACTGGAGGTTAATATTGCAGGGAACTACTGCAGCTTGTGGTTTAAACATCACACCAACTGGGAATGAGTTTCTTTACCCAGTGCTCTCCTGAGAGCACCCTTAACCTCAGCATTCCTCAGACTGTAGATCAGGGGGTTCAGCATGGGGTTGAAAAAACTGTAAAACAGGAAAAGAATCTTCTGCTGCTCTTCTGGGTGTTGGGACTTGGGGGCCATGTACATGACAATGGCGCTGCCAAAGAAGAGCCCTACCACACAGAGGTGGGAGGAGCAGGTAGAGAAGGCCTTTCTGCGGCCCTCCCCTGACTGCATCTTCAGAACAGACACCAGGATGCGTGTGTAGGAGATCAGCACCAAGCATAAGGGTCCTACTAAGATGAACACAGAAGCTGCAAAGATGACGACTTTGTTGAGTGTTGTATCAGCACAGGCCAGCTTGAGAACAGACAGGATTTCACAGAAGAAGTGATTGATTTCATGAGGTCCACAGAAGGGCAGCCTCAGGATAAGGCTCATATGAACCATACCAAGGAGGGAGCCACATGCCCAGGATGTGATAACCAGAGCAGCACAGTTCCTCCAGTCCATGATGGAAGAATATCGGAGTGGGTGACAGATGGCTACATACCGATCATAGGACATCACCACGAGGAGGAGACATTCTGTGTGTGCAAAGGCCAAAAAGAGAAAGGTCTGTGTCATGCATCCAGCAAAGGAAATAGGTTTGAATGGATCTAGCAGGTTCACTAGCATCTGGGGCACGGTGTTGCAGGCATAGGCAATGTCAACGATGGCCAGATGGGAGAGGAAGAAGTACATGGGGTTGTGGAGTCTGGAGTCTCGACAGATTATTCCAAGGATGACCCCATTCCCCACCAGGGTAATGGCATAGAATAGGGAGAAAGATGCAAAAAGAATTCGGTGAATCTTTGGGCCAAGGCAGAATCCAAGCAGGACAAACTCTGTGACCATTGTCTGATTTTCCTCCATTTCACTATGACAGAGAGATGCAGAGAACTGAGACACAACTGTTTCAAATATAGGTGTCAAGCTTTTGACATTCTACCACAACTCGGTCATTCACAGATATTTTGGACACAACTATTGTTTATTTGTCTTAGACGTGGAATAATATTAAGAACCTCCACTAGGAACTTAATTAATTAAAATTAATAAGTAAATGCTTACAAAAACTAAATTATTTTTAAGCAAAATAATTAGTCTGACATTCAGTTTTTAGAAGAAAAATGTTTCACCAATGATTATTTATTTAGAACCCCTGACCATGAGGCAGCCAAAAACTCGATGATCCACACATATAAAATAAGCATGAAACACTGATTGTTTCTGCCTTTATATTAACAAATCTCTAGGGGAATTGCTGATTTTCAAAAAGAGCTCTCAAAATGAGAACATCCTTAGAAAGGAATTCTAATTGCTTTGGTAGAAGTTATGATTGCTACTATAAATATTTATATACCAACTAGCTAGAGACTGCTTTCGTAGATCTACCAAAAGAAAATTATGAAATGGCAACTTTTCATTATTAATATTATTTTTGATCTACAAAAGTAATTCTGGGTATTTACTTACTAAGTTCAATTTAAAGTTTAGATACTTGAATACAATCTGGAGTGTTGTGAGCTAGTGAGAAGGAAAGGGTTCGTAGAAACAATATCTAATAATTATTTATGGTAGCATATGTATTTATCTAGATATATAAATAAAATGTATGCAACTATATCTGTACAAAATGTGTATTATTGTCTTGAAAAATAGAAACAAACTAACATTTGTTAATTTGACAACTGGTTCACCAAGCCATTGTCAGAATCATTAATTTACCACAAAAATCTTCCCATTGCAATCCATAGACAATAAGGAATTTTGTGTTTTATCAGCTGTATTTACAAGCCCAACATTACATAAGCTCTCCAGGGTTTGGAAGCTGGGCACGGCAGGCATCTACATGCAAACACTCACAGAAAAAATTTCCTATGCACTATCTGATCAGATCATTCCTTCTATGTTTCATTTTCATAAAAGAGCCTAAAATGAAAATTGGCTAGGACTCTCATTTCGTTATTAATTAAATCACTTTTATTCACAATACATACCATAGTTGAAATTCATAAAAATAATTTTCTATTCAAACTTAAAAACAGTAGCTGACTTCTTCATCAAGAACACTCATATTCTTTAGCTGGCATGGTGGCACATACTTTTAATTCCAGCACTCGGGAGGCATAGGCAGGCAATCTCGAGTTCAAGGTCAGCCTGGTCTACAGAGTTCTAAAAATAAAAGGATGCACATATTCTTTACAAGTAGGCAGTGAAAAATGCTTATAAATTGAAAAGTCTCTTTATCTGACATTTGACAATTACCTCCATTGTCAAATTAGTGATAAAATATTCTATACATTATTTGCATGCTAAATTGAGGAACTTGGCTTTTTTTTTTAATCATAATTTCCCTAAGAAGTCTTGTTGACATTCAATATAGTTTGGCATGCTAACATTTATCAGAGCTGTTATGAGCTCAAAATAACCTAAGGTTTAGTTACCTTTCCATAAACAGCGTGAGAAATAATAACACCAAGTTTGTTTCATCTTGTTTAACTATCATAATTACACAGGGTGACATTAGGAATGTTACCTGAAGAAGTTAGCATGAGAGAAGGATTGCCTTCTGAGAGAGAGAGAGAGAGAGAGAGAGAGAGAGAGAGAGAGAGAGAGAGAATATTGCAAAAATATACTCACAACTGATGAGAATAACAACCCACCCAGAGGTGGAAACAAGACAGCTTAAGGAAAGGTGAGACTGGAATTTAGGGACTTCTCAAAGGCCACTGTTGCTGGATGCAGTCTCCCAGAAGCAGGGCCAAAGGAGCTGGCCAAATCGGTGAGCCGAAATGTGGTCAGTTTCATGACATAGGAGTTTGGAGAACGATTAGAAAAATGATGGAGGAGATGGATATGGAGAATAAACATCAGGCCTGAAGGCAGCGTTCAGCAGCATATGTAAAATGACTTCCGGAAGGGAACTGAGGGACCAGGTAACACAAGGATGCTAGCTACTTGGTGGATGGATGTCTGTAGGATGCAGAGATTGGTTTGGTGATTGATTATCAATAGCTTTACCCATAATGATCTCTGATTAGGTCTTCTTGCTGTAATTTCGCGTTCTTCAACCATCAGGTAATAACTCCTTTTCATGAACAGATATTTCTACAGGAAAGCAAAATATTATTAGAAAAAAATGTGCTTTGAATTTTAAATGACCTGTTTTTAAATACTATATCTTGTTCCTTGACTTTGCATTTTAGCATAACAAGATGTTGACCCCCAAAGAACACTTCTAAAGCTGGGTCTAAAGTGTATCGATCAGATCCTGACAAATAAAATCCCCTTTAAGCAAGCTTTGGAATAAGATATGCTTTCCTTTAAAACAACAGAAAATATCTCTGATTTATTTGAGGAAAGAAATGGCCATATTTCACTGATATGAAAATAATCTAAATAATATTTTTCTTTATTTCTTTTAAATGCATGATAGACTAATTTCAAGACAGGGTAGAAAGAATTTTTTTTGTGGTTGCTAAAGTATCTAATTTTTTGTTTAATAAATTCTATTATATTTTATGTATTTATTTAGTGTGCATAGGGGTCATGTGCATGTCACTGCTTGCATGTGGCTGTCAAAAAAACAACTGCAGGTATTTGTCCTTTCTCCATCCTGTGGGTCTCAGGGATAAAACTCAGATGGCCAGGCTGGTGGCGGACTCCTTTGCCAGCTGAGCTATCTCATTGATTCCTAGCTGTTGTTAGAACACACAAAATTTGGAAGCTAAAGTAAAAGACGAAATGAAAAGGTCAGATGTGTGACGGTCTTCTTCAGTCCAGAAGCTCCTCTGAATCCAATTTGAGAAAGCCGTTGAGTGGTGAACTCTGGCATTCCATACACATTTGTTAGATGTGAAGTTAATGAAGAACAAACAATTACTGCATGACGGGATTGGTCCACTGAAAGTGATGTCTGCTAGACTTGTACTTAGCTCAGGCTCATCTTCTAGCAGAAAGTGAGTCCTAGAATTTTGAAACTCTTCATTCCTGTGATCTGTATGAAAGGAAGACCTTTAAAATTAGATGAGGGCAGTTGAAGGATTTAGAGTGTTTGACATTTGAATCAGGAACACACTTCTCTTTTTCTTTTGATAGCTGTATAAAAACAGATGGAAGCCAAACAGATTCATTTTCTTGCAGTTTGCAGGGATTCAACCCTGTGGGACTGTTAGAAGTCACCATGGGTTGAGGAGCTCAGGGGCCCTTGCTCCTCTCTGTTGGGTTATTTGCTAATGGTAGATTTAGGAAGAGGGGAAGTCATTGCCTTCAGCTGTGCATTTGCTGGTGAGCTCACCAGGCTCCCATGGTCAGTTGTAATCCAGTGCTCACAGAGTGATACTGGATGAGCTGAAATGGTCACAAAACAAACTCAGAGTTGGGAATCAGGGAGAAGGACTGATAGAGAGGAGGAAGAAACTCAATGGAGATGAGCAGGGGATGGCAGAGGGTGGGAGGGGAGAGCAATCACAGTGCATTAGAGATAGTTATAATTTTGTCAAAAACAAGTTTACATAATAAAACAATTAAATCTCTAAGTTTGAATGAACAGTCTCTTTCCTACAGTGCTAGGCATTGGGTAAAGCAGAATCCATGAATCAGTCCCACATTGTTAGTCAATTGTTCAGCTCAAATGTTGACTTCTTATTTGTAAATAATAAGGAAGAACTGGAAAATATTACATTTCTTGCTTTCATAATTATAAACATAGACTTTGACAATTATCTTAAGGAGTGAGAATTGATGCAGCAAATGCTTTCTCTGGGATAGAGACTATCCTGGATGAGCAAGAACTAGAAAGTCACTCTCATGTGATTATGAGCCATCCCATAATTTGTTGAAGGCTGGTAATAATTGATCATCTGTGGAGTACTTCCATGTACCATGTATTATGGGAGCACAATGTGTAACTGGATGATAGGTCTGAGACAGGGAAGATTGCATTGAGAAAGTGTGCTTTAGGAGGAAGAGGAGAGGGAAAGAAAAAAAGGACACTTTAGATATGATTATTGGATCTAAAATTCTTCTGAAAAGAAGACTTAGGTGTAGTCGGCCAGCTCATCCTCTCACTGGCTGTGTTACCTCGGACACACAGTATGTTTTCCATTTTCTTTCTATCTCTATCCCAAAGACTCAGCCTCATTGCTACAGAAAATCTACTTATTTGCAGAGCATTTTCTAAGTGTCTATATAGTTGAATATGGAAGGTCAGTATAAAACATACATACACTTAGCAATCATTGTGCTTTATATTTCATTGCAGTAAATATATCATCAGAAACACAGTGCGTGTTTTGACAGTGCTGACAAGAATTAGATGCAACATTTAAAAACAACCAAATATATTAACTTCACTGGAGCAGAGCATTATTTAATAAAGTATTGTACTATAATTTCAATTAAGTAGGAAAATTATTCCATGTATTTCATTTAAACCCATAAAGTGGAGATTCCTAACTGTTTATACAGAATGTGAATGATGAGAATGTATGCACACATTGTATACACACACATACCCACACATCATACAATGACTTTGTTTCTCTGCTGGATACAGAAGAAATGGCAATGAGTGTGACAGCTGAATAAAATCTAGATGCTACAACTTGTCTTGTAGGAATTAAAGACGGAGTAAATCCAGGTAACCTTGACAGCTTCCACACAAGGACCCAAGAGTCTCAGAAGCCGAAGCAGTGGTAGGCTGGCATAGGTCCTGTCTCCTTAGAGCTTCTGTGTGTGTGTGCAGAATCCTCACTGTTGCCCCTTTCTGTAATATGACAGAATCCTCAGGGAAGTTGGCTTTATTCTCTGAGGGCTCAGCCTAGTTGACAGCTCTTGAGGGCTCAGAGGAGGCACAGGGTCATGGGGCT